ATAATTGGGGATTTGATAACGGAAAAAGATCAGATTGATTCTATTCTTGAAGGACTTCCAGAGGAGGCCAATTAGTTCGTTATGTAGATGTATGGTAGTCATGTTCCTCTCAAACTCTATGATATTTAAGCGTTATTGTATGTTCAGGAAGCTCAGTTGGACAAGTTTCACCAAGAATTGGCTGCAACTACCATTGCTGCTAACATTGCTCATGCAAATCAAGAAGGTTGTGGCTCCATAGGACTTACTCGAGAAATCTAGAAAGAAGCAACAAGTTTACTCATGCTCATTGTCGTGGTAGAGACAAACAATCAATTGGAAATCACCCTACATGTCAACTCTATCGCAAATATGGCCATGCTGTGGCCACTTGTTGGAATCGATTTAATGAGAACTTTGCGCCACCAGAGGCCTCCAATACTCAGAGAAACTCAACAAACAATGCCATTGGCAGTGAGAATGCACCTCAGGATCAAACTCCAAATTATCCAGCTATGGCTATGATGGCTACAACAAAGCACCCTGGTGTCTACACTCAGGCGTATTCTTTAACTGGTGAACTGGAGTCACAGTCATCGTTTGCAGACTCAGGTGCCACTCATCAACTCACTCCATATGCGTCTCTTTTACAAAATTAGAAACCTTATTCAGGATCTAATAGAGTTTATGTAGGCAATGTTCAAACTCTTACCATTTAAGCTGTAGGATCTATTCATTTCTACTTAAGCTAATGCCTAATTTCAAACTTAGTTTATCTGATGTCCTTCTAGTTCCTTCTATCCCCGGAAATTTGTGATCTGCTTCTAAGTTCTCTAGAGATAATAATGTTATCTTTGAATTCCCGCCTGATAAATGTTACATTAAATCTCAGGCTTCTAAGCAAGTCTTGGTTGAAGGCACAATTAATGAAATTACTTGTACTACTTTCCTCAGCATTCTTTGGATCTCATCAGTCCACTCAGCTTGAACAAAATTGTGCCTTTCTTTTCTGATATTCATAGTTATGTAGCCTCTAGATCTGAGTCTCATAGTACTACTAAATGTAATCCTTGTATACTTTGGCACCATAGACTGGGACATGCCAATTTTAATTGCATCTCATGTTTTGAAACTTTTTAATGTTCATGCTTATAATAAACAAGACTCATATTTTTGTACTCCTTTTAATGTTGGTAAAGCCCATAAAATTCATGCTCCTTTAACTAATATTGTTTATCATCGACCCTTATATGTGATTTACACTGACTTATGGGGTCCCTCACCCTATCCCTCTAATACTGGGTTTAAATACTATATAGCATTTGTAGATGGGTACACCAAGTACAATTGGTTATATATTTTAAAACAAAAATCTTAGGCCTTGCAGGCATTTAAATTGTTTCATAAGTTTGTCCAAACTCTGTTTCAGGTCACTATTAGGTATGTTTAGTCTGATTTTGGTGATGAGTATAAACCCTTTTACCAAGTACTTAGCTGAGTTAGGGATACATCATAGCATTACCTACCCTCACACCTCCCATCAAAATGGAAGTGTTGAGAGAAAACACAAGCACATTGTTGAAATGGGACTTACTATGCTCTCTCATTCATCCATACATGTGTCTTATTGGGATCATATTTTTACTATTGTTGTGCATATTATAAATAGGTTACCTACCACACCTTTAAAAGAGTTTCATTCACCCTTTCATGCTCTCTATGGAAAACAACCGGATTATAAGTCTCTAAGAACTTTTGGTTGCTCATGTTTTCCTTTACTTAGACCTTTTAACCAACACAAAATGCAACTCAGAAGCACATAGTGTGTGTATTTGAGTATATCTCCCCAACATAGAGGATACAAATGTCTGAGTCCTAATGGCAAGAAATATATATCTAAAGATGTTACCTTTAATGAGAGTAGCTTTCCCTTCTCCAAATTGTTTCCTGGTGAATGCTCCCCCACTGAATACCTCTAATGGTGGTACTCAAATGACCTCTAGTCAGTGTCCTATCCTATGTAGTACCAGTTTTCCTTTGTCTCATCCAACCATTCCTATTGACACTCAAATACATATGTATGTCATACAACCTAATATCATACATAGAGCCAGCCTATTTGTGTCTGATTCTTTTGACCAGACTAAGTCTGCTAATAATATTCATGACAAGTCCCCTTAGAATCAAACTATGCCTCATTTTAATACTGTCTCACCTGTCTTATCTCATCAATATGTACACTTTGCTACTGCATGAGACTCTAAAACCCTGCATAACTTTGATAGGTCTGCATCATTAAATAATATAGCTTGCAATTCTAATCCCTTACCAGCTGTCACTGGTACTGAACCTAACACTCCCTCTTATCCTAAAGATCATGAAAGGGGTTCGTCCAAAAATACTCTTGAAAGCAGAGGCCAATATTCTTGAGGTATCTCCTTCAATACTTAAGTCTAAAATCTCAGAAACTCCCCTTATTGATTCTGATTAGAATAATGCTCATCTTGACACTGAGTTGTCTCCAAGTCACAACATTACTTCTCCTCCCAAGCATTCTTTCTGATCTAATGAACTTACTATATCCTCTCGTATTCCCATTTCAGATTCCTCTCAATCTATTACTATTGTTAGTAGTAAACCTTTGGTGTCACCAACTAAAAACAGTCATCCCATGCTCACTAGAGCCAAGACTGGTCACTCCAAACCTAAGGCTTTTATAGCACAAACTGAGTCTGAACCAACTAGCTTCAAACAAGCTCAGCTTCAACCCTCTTGGGCTAAGACTATGCAAAATGAATATAATGATTTACAAGCTAATAAAACCTGGTCTTTAACCACCTTACCACTTGATAGAAAAAATGTGGGGTGTAGGCGGGTCTTCAAACTAAAGTTGAATGTTTATGGGAGTCTTAACAAATACAAGGCAACGTTAGTTGCCAAAGGTTTTCATCAGTAGCAAGGTTTTAATTTTACAGAGACATTTTCTCTTGTGGTCAAACCTACCACCACTAGGGCCATCCTCACACTTGCTTTAACCTATAATTGGGATATTCGACAAATTGATATTAACAATGCTTTCTTGAATGAAAAGCTTCATGAGAAAGTCTATATATCTCCGCCCCCAGGATTTATGTGTTATGGAAAAACTCTTGTGTGCAAACTACATAAGGCTCTATATGGTTTTAAACAGGCTCCCAGAGCCTTGTGTGAGAAACTAACTCAGGCTCTTCTCCAATTTGGTTTTACAGCCTCCAGGTGTGATATTTCTCTCTTTACATATTGCAAACAAGGTGTGACTTTATATGCTTTAGTGTACGTTGAGGATATTTTGATCATTGGCTCTAGTTCTCCTTTAATTCATGACTTGATCACCAAATTGCACACTCAATTTGCCTTGAAAAAACTGGGAAAACCTAGCTACTTTCTTGGTATTGAAGTGAAGCATCTCTCTAATGGTTCAATCCTACTCACTCAAGCAAAATACATCAAAGATCTCTTACACAAAGCAAAGATGGTTAATGTCAATGGAGTGCCTACACCAATATTGACAACTTGCAAATTAAGTAAGCATGGTGACAATATGTTTGCTAATGCTTAACTCTACATATCCATAGTAAGAGCACTGCAGTATGTGACCTTGACCAGACCAGATGTGGATTTTAGTGTGAATAAGGCATGTCAGTTCATGTCCAATCCTCTTGATGCTCATTGGGCTGTTGTTAGAAGAATGCTCAGGTATTTAAGTGGCACAGTCAATCATGGGATCCTTCTGGAACCATCTGTTTCAGCTCCAAAGTTCTCCCTTTGTGCCTATAGTGATTCAGACTGGACTAGTGACCCTGATGACAGGCGCTCTAACTCAGGTTCGTGCATTTTCTTTGGTCCCAATATGGTTGTATGGAGTTCTAAAAAGCAGTCGCTTATAGCTAGATCTATCATTGAAGCCGAGTATGGGCATTGGCACACACCACATCTGAGTTATTATGGCTTGAATCTTTATTACTTGAACTTCACATTCTGTTTCACACACCAACTCTTCTCCGTGATAACTTAAGTGTGGTTTTGCTCTCCCACAATCTTGTGTTACATGCCAGAATTAAACACATTGAATTAGACATTTATTTCGTTAGGGAACGGGTAGTTGCTCAAAGAATGTTGATCAAACATGTGTCAGCCGCTGCTTAACTAGCTAATACCCTTACAAAACCACTTGGCACAACAACTTTTCAAGACTTAAGGAGCAAACTGAAAGTTTTATCTGCTGATCATTTACCTTCAGTTTGAAGGGGACTATTAGAGATATTGTCTAGACTGCTTAATATAAGTGTGCCATCGTATCTATCCGTGATTGGTCCTTATAGTCTTTTGCCTTAACTATAACTAACTCTTAGTTAATTTGTTAGGCAGTTAAAAGTAGTTTTAACTGCATTGTTACCTGATGTATATATAGGATAACAGTGTATTGTTAATTGTAATGATACTTTTCCATATTTTGAGATAGTGATACATCTTCTCTCTTTACTCTTTCCCTTCATCTTGATTACCGTGTAGTAAGAGGATAAGAATTCAGTTCTAATATCCTAAGACAATCTCATGGGCTATCCAATGTCTTTTACCACCGAGTGTTAATCATATGTAGATGATTTGAATGTATATAAAATGTATTTTTTGTTTAATTGCTTCTTTCAACTAGTATACACGCACTAGATTTATACAACATATGCTTTGAAATCCCACTCACCTTCCATAGTAATTTCAATTTAGTTAAAAAAAGAAAAGGTTGGAAAGTCTAGAAAGCACTAATTTATTAATTATATTTTTAGTATTTATATATAGATTTTAGAAAAGTGATTACTAGTATACAAGTGTCTTAAATATTGATATAATATAACTAGTATTATTCACATGGCAACCACAAGCTGCCCATAGCCATGTCTTGACCCTATAAATAAATGCACATTTTCTGCATATCAAGCACAAACATCAAACACATATAGCTCTAATATTAGTAAGGGAAAAAAATGAACCCCCTTCGTCTCATAGGCACAGCTCTATGCTGTGTTGCAATTGTGTTTGGAGGATTAACTTTCTCCTCAGATGCACAACTTGACCCAAATTTTTACATTCGAAGTTGTCCTCAATTGCAGTCTATAGTATATCAAATCTTATCCAATGTTGCTACAAAGGATCCACGAATGCCAGCTAGTCTCATCAGGCTCCACTTTCATGATTGCTTTGTTCAAGTATGTAAACATATATTTCTCATGATAAGTGCTTTTATATGTAACTTATTTTTATAATAATAGTTATTTCTGATTGATACAGGGTTGTGATGCGTCAGTTTTGTTGAACAAAACTTCTACTATTCTCCATATTCATTCATTTTAATAAGCTTTTCTTCTAATAATATTTTTCACCTACAGGGTTGTGATGCATCAGTTTTGTTGAACACAACGGATACCATTGTCACTGAACAAGATGCTTTACCAAATATCAACTCCTTGAGAGGTTTAGATGTTATAAATCAGATCAAAACAGCCATAGAAATAGCTTGTCCCCACACTGTTTCTTGTGCTGATATTCTTACACTTTCTGCTGAAATATCTTCCGTTTTGGTAAATATAATTATTTTCAGTTAAGGATAAATGAATTTTGACATAAAATCATAATAATTTAATTAATAAATTTATATTGACAGACCGGAGGGCCAGGTTGGTTGGTTCCACTGGGAAGAAGAGATAGTTTAACAGCAAATCAATCACTTGCTAATATAAATCTTCCAGGTCCATCTTTCAGTTTAACTCAACTTAAATCTGCTTTTGCTGATCAAGGCCTCACCACACGTGACCTAGTATCACTCTCAGGTAATGTCAATACAGATACTGTTATTATCTGTTTTAATGATAAAGAATAAATTGTGATTAATTTACATCACGACATACTTTGGTAATTTCAGGTGCTCATACATTTGGAAAATCACGTTGCTTTTTATTCTCTGATCGCTTATACAACTTCAACAATACTGGCAAACCTGATCCAACTCTTGATACAACATACTTAAAAGAATTGCAAAAACAGTGTCCTGAGGACGGACCGGGAGATAACCGTGTCAATTTTGATCCAACTACTCCTAATAGATTGGACAAAAACTACTACAACAATCTTCAAGTTAAAAAGGGTTTGCTTCAAAGTGATCAAGAATTGTTCTCAACTCCAGGTGCAGATACTATTGCCATTGTCAACCGTTTTGCCAATAACAAAATTGTTTTCTTTAAGAATTTTAAGAAGTCAATGATTAAAATGGGAAATATTGGCGTGCTTACCGGAACGAAAGGTGAAATTAGAAAACAATGCAATTTTATTAACAAGGAATCTTCTGAATTGGATCTTGCTACTGTGACTTCTACAGAATCAATTGAGGGGGGTGTGGTTAGTTCAATCTAAGTGTTTTGAGGGTTACTTTAGTTGGAATAATGAAGTGATTATAGCTAGGTACATTTGTGCCATAAGCTTTGTGTTATGTGCCTTGTGTGTGTGTGTTGTGTAAGATAATCTTCTTTTATCTAATGTTTTAAATAATATCCACTCTTACTATTACAACGTATATGCTCTTGTTCCTTAACATTGATGAAAATAATAGTGTAACATTAGGTAAAACAGAGAGACTAAAATGCTAATTCAATTTGACTTGAGAGAGAGTGTTGCTGGTAAAAGTTTCATATAGTTTACATTATTAAACATGTGGCTTCTATGACCGAACGCAATTAGATCTAATAATTGCTGTTTGATCATCTTGATTTTATGGAGTTTGTGGAGAAAGAGTGGAAGTCCTTACTAGTAGTAGGTTCTCATGCTTTGTCATCAAAGAAAAATTTAAGAAGTTATGATGAAGGCTTGTTAGTCATGATGGAAAAAACGTCTAGGCTAGGAGAGATTGTACTAATTTTTATGATTATGCAAGACTCCTTTAACTTCTTACAATTTGTCTCAACATCTGTAGATGGAAGAAGTACCATACTCACATTTATTCAATTACTTATAAAAATGAATTATTAAAAATTAAAATGAGACAGAGTTATAAATGCATCAGCATGCATAATTTATACTCCTGTATTTTATTATTTTATAGTCAACTCTCTCCTGTCTGAACCATTAAAATACAATCACACCACACTTTCATTTAATTCAAATCTTTATCTTTTCCAAATTCTCATAAACAAAGTCACCACCACCGGAAGAAAATGAAAAAAAATGGACCAATTCTCTAATAAAGGCAAAGGAAGAAAATATAAAACTGCATTTATACTATTTTAAAAAAATCTCTTCACCCTAATATATACAAATAAATAAATTTATTTAGTTTAGACTTCATTAATTATTTTTAATGTAGGCTCGAGATTGATGATATAGATTCAAATTATTAACTATATATTTTCGTGTATACATCATTCATTCTTTTAAAGGTGTCCGGATAAAATTCATATTGTTTAAATATAAGTTTTTTTGCATCAATTTAGATTGACTAAGTAGATAAAGAGTGACGTTCAATCCGAGAGGTTGTGGATTCAATTTCTTTTATCAATATGAAGATCTTTTTAATGGATATTTTTATATATGTTTTTTGAGTCTTGAGGTCTGTCATGACTCGGTAAAACTCTGGAGCTCAACTCATTTAATAAAATATAGAGTAATTAGCAATTTAATGATATAAGTGATTGTTAAATTTAAATTTATTACTTGATTTAATTTTTTAACATATAAATTATCATAGTGTTAGTCTGAGAATTTTAGCTGAGAAATTCAACAGGAAGTTGTAATAACCACGTTTGAAAATGATGGAAAATGATGAATGTGGGATGATTATGTTATAGTTTAAACATGAAGCGGTTTTCAACATAGTTGAGAGACTCGATTTAACTACTAGTTGTTGGGGATTTAGTAAATTCTTGAGTCTAAAGATTATATTATTGAAACATTTTGACGCTATGCTCTAAGGTTTGATAGAAGAAATATTTGAGTTAGAGGATTTAAAAGAAGGTTTAAAACAGTAAGAGCAGTCAAAATAATTCAAATGTCAAAGACACGTGGAAGCGAACCATAAGACTAAAGTCCATGTAAGAGAATACATGTCGATTTCTGCGGAAATAACTGTTATCGACAATTAACATTGTAAATAATATATAAGGCAAGTTCAGTTGGATAAAAAAGGGTTGCAATTTTCGTTAGTGTTTTTTACAGAATTCGAATATCCAAGTCACAAAGAGAAAAATTTGTGAGAAAATGTGAATCTATGTCCTATTTTTTTGATCCAAGCATTTTTTACTGTCTTCTTTTATTTATTTGTCTTCTAAACATTTCTGCACTTTATTTTTTGAAATTCCCATAAAATTGTTAAACATTCAAACATCAAATCTTCAAGCACAAATACAGTTTTCTCTAACTATTTGCATAAATTGTCCTTAACTGAACTAAAAATTGTGATTTGATTTATTAAAAACATCAATAAATAAACTGGCACGTCCAGTGGAACCTTTTTATACAAAAAAAAAAATCTAATTTTGCAAAAAGTTTGTGCGAATTTATCTTTGTCTGATTTTCTTTTCAATGTCTTCAATAGGTGAGTGTTTATGCATTTGAGGAATGGTAAAACTGTTAAGATGCTTCGTTCAAAGAATACCTCTCTTTCCCAGAACGATGCTCAAAATGCAGAAGATTTTTGATGGTGATGTAGTGGTGAATGAGATGATTGATATGGCCAATAGGGAGAAGAAGAAATGCTTTATGCTAAAGGTAAATTTTGAGAAAGCATATATGAATAAGAATTGGAATTTTTAGAAATATATGTTGAGAAGAATAGGCTTTGGAGTTAAATGACTTCGTTGGATGGATGCTTTCATTTTCAATAACATTTTGCATGTGTTGGTCAATGGTAACCCAACCAAAGACTTTAAGATTGGAAAAGGTTTAAGACATAAAGATCCTCTTTGTCCTTTTCTTTTCTCAATTGTTGTTGGAGGCTTTGTTAGGCATGATGGGAAGAGCGTCTAGGCTAGGAGAGTTCACATGTTTCAAAGTCAAAAACCAAGTGGAGCATAACATTTTGCAATTTGCAGATGACACTATTATTGTTGGAGATGGGTTTTGGCATAACTTGTCGAGCATCAAGGATTTGATGAGGAGATTTGAGTTATTGTAAGGATTTAGTGTGAAATTTATCAAAAGCAAGTTGTATTACCTGAACCTTAATGAAGTTTTCATGGAATCTGCTTCACATTTTCCTGTGGCATGATTGTCTTTAGAAGAAAGGGATGTGTTGGGTGAGTTGGAAAGATATTTATAGAACTAAAGAAGAGGGAGGATTGAGTATAGAAAATGTGGAGACATTCAACATGTCTCTAATGTGTAAATGTATATGGAGATGCCTAATAGATAAATAGGTTATTTGGAGAGGAATCTTACAACATAGATATGGAAGCTTAGAAACCATGATGCTTGGTGGTGGAGAGCCAATAGAGAACCAAATGGATGTCTGATGGTGGATGGATCTAAAACATCTTGGTAGGCTAGATGAAGAGGTTAATGATTGGTTTATGTTATGATTGTATCTCTGTGTGTCGAATATGTTTACACAAGATGTATATTTATATGCAAATAGTTAATGTACAAAAGGAAACAATATTAATTATAGTAATTACTAATTGAATATCAATCACTCCTAATTGATTGATAACAAATTTTTAACACACCCCCTTAAGCCGGGTCGTAGATATTGTATGATCCAAGCTTGTTACAAATATCATTTACTCGAGAATCTTTGAGAGACTTGGTAAACATATCAGCCAATTAGTCTTCTGATTTGACAAATTTTATGGTTATTTCTCCTGATAGTACCTTGTCTCTTGCATAGTGACAGTCTATTTCATTGTGTTTGGTCCGTTCATGGAACATCGGATTAGACGCAATGTGAAGAGCCGCTTGATTGTCGCATATGAGTTTTATGGTCTGAAGGTCTCTGAATTAAAGTTTCGAGAGCAAATTCTTAAGCCATGCAAGTTCTTTTAATGCTACTGCCATATCATGATATTCTGCTTCAGCACTAGATAGTGCAACTGTGTTTTATTTCTTGCTTCTCTATGAGGTCATATTTTCTCCAATAAGAACACAATATCCAGAAGTGAATATCCTATCTGATGGTGATCCTTCCCAGTCTGCATCTGAATAAAAAATGATTTTAGCATCGCCATTATCTTCATATAATAGGCCTCTTCCTTGTTCATTCTTTATATGTATGAGAATCCGAATAACTGTATTCCAATGAGTATCACAAGGAGCATTCAGGAATTGGCTCACAATGCTCATTGCAAAAGTAATATTTGGTCTGGTGACGGTAAGATAATTGAGTCAACCCACTAGACTTCGATATCTTCTCGGGTTTTTCAACAGCTCCCCCTGACTCGGAATAAGCTTGACGTTGAGATCCATAGGAGTATCAATCGGAATGCAATCAATCATACTAGTTTCAGTTAGGATGTATAATGCATACTTACGTTGGTTAATTGTAATGCCTGATGAGGATTAAGCAACTTCAATACCTAAGAAGTATCTGAGTGGACCCAAATCTTTTGTTTAAAAGTTTTTGAAAAGATGAGTTTTGAGTCGCTGGATACCCTCTGTATCATCTCCAGTGATAACAATATCATCAACATAAACCATAAGAAAAATACACTGACCTATGGAAGAGTGAAGGAAGAAAATAAAGTGATTTTCTTCAAATCTAGTCATATCAAACTATATCAAGGCAAAGCTGAAGTGATCAAACCAAGCACGTGGAGACTGTTTCAGCCCATAAAGAAATCAATGAAGCCAACAATCAAGTATTGAATTACCAGGAATAGTAAAATTGGGAGGTTGATCCATATACACTTTCTCCTCCAGTTCTCTGTGTAAGAATACATTTTTAATATCCAACTGATAAAGCGAACAATGATTAATAGAAATCATTGCAAGGAAGAAATGGATTGAACTAATCTTGGCTACTGGAGAAAAAGTGTCACCATAATCAAGGCTAAATATCTGTGTGTATCCCTTAGCGACTAAATGAGCTTTAAATCGATCAATCTGAATGTTTGGTCCAACTTTCACTGTATAAACCCATTGACATCCCATTTTAGTTTTGTCTGAAGGAAAAGGAACAATAACCCAAGTGTTATTTGAATGCAATGCAACCATTTCTTCTACCATTGCCTGACGCCAACTGGGGTCAGTCATAGCTTCACCTATAGACTTAGGAATAGACACAGAATCCAAAGAAGACACAAAAGAGACATAGGAAGTAGAGAGACAAACATAATTTAAAACACAAACATATTTAGGATTTGGATTAAGAGATCTAATACCTTTTCGTAATGCTATTGGAAGGTCATGTTCAGGTGATGTAGCTGGAG